TAGGTGGCTTTTTTTGTGCTCTGTGTCTGGGGAATTGCTTGGGGCAGCAGAGAGATGAGAGATGCAGAGAAGATGCAGAGGGGGTTTGCTTGTACAGACAGGGTTTGCTCATTTTGAGTATTAAGTGTTAAAAACTGTTAGCTAAGTATATCAGATGCCCTGAAGGAAGAGCAAAACCTGAAATGTATTTAGACGAAGACAAGGCACAAGATTTGCAAGGGTTAACACATTAACTCTTACAGAGTCAAGAGCTCCCTACCCCAACAAGCTTTTTTTTTTGTGCCATAAGTGCACTGCCGTGAAACAACTTCCTCTAATATGACCCCAAACCTTCACCTGGACAAGCTGTACACATCCAGGCCACTGCCAAGTTAGCAAGGGAACCATTTCACAGGAATCTGGAGTCTTCTGCAAACTTCCATTTACAGGAATGCAAATATCATGGAAATCCTCTTTGAACGCACTCCTTTTTTTCCMCCTTGACCTGTCCCTCCTGTGAGGAGCTGCTGGCTGAGGCAGTATGAGCTCTCCCGAGCCATGCCTGCCAGCATCATGCCTGGCATCAGGCTCTGCAAGGCAACGGCCCCATGGTATCCCCGGCGTGGCACTGACACTCTTGTGCAGAAGGTGCTGTGAGTCATTACTTAAGTGACATCAATACAGCACTGCTGGCTTGGCTGATTGGGCAAAGGTAGCTAAAACCTAAGAAAGAGAAAAACCCTTTACAGTCACACATCGTCCAAGCCAATCCTGATGGATGCTGCACAGAACAAATCCTCTCTGTCTTTTCTCTGCTGTTGGGGAGTATCCCCATAATACAACATTGAATCCACCCCTTTTCCCACACTGTCATGCAGATATCCAATGTCACTCTGCCAGCCACATCCCAAAACCTTGCTTGTACCAGAGTAAAAGAAAACATTTAAGTCAAGAAGGTGATTGCATTGCATAGAGTCCTTTTGTGCCATAGTGCAGGAGTACAAAACAAGAGGAGGTAATCAAACAACCTATCCAGATCCAGCCTTCAACTAAGGGGTCAGGGAATGGGATGGAAAACAAGGTCTAATATATATGTATGATGAAAGGTTGACAGTTATTTCATTGTGTGTTTCAGTGTGAAAACCACAGTGACAATGATACTGGAATGTGTTTTTCGTCACCACAAATACGTCACGCCAGATGGAGAGACCTTTTACATGCATGACAAATCCTGTGCTTTGGGGGCTGCACAACTTAAAGAAGATGGGCCCTGAAACTACTTTTAAAAATCCTGTTCTCCCAGACAAGCTGTGGCAGATGAATCTACTTTCATGYGGACATGCCTAAAGCCAAACAGCAGAGGAGCACCTCTCCCAGCCGGGAGAGCTCACCCATGCAGAGCTGCACCTGCTCAAGGATCTGTCCTGCTACTGCATAATTTGGCTCCTGGGGAGGTTTTTAAAACWAGGCTCACATTTAACAGGCATCCTCCTTTGCAACTGCAGAGCATCTCAGTGTTCACGCAGCAGTCATTTTTATGGAAGATTTGGGTTTGCACAGTGAAACTGGGGCATGAGGGAACAACACAATGGCCCAAACAACACAATAGTTTTAGAAGACACCTCTGAAAATATCTCTTTTGCTTTCCAGGCACCTACCTTAGGAATTGYACTACAAACAGACCTTGCCCAACCCCCTCACCTATCCTTGGTGTGAGCAGATCCCTGTGAGCTCATGCCTGACTTCTCCACAGTAGGGAAGTGCCCTCTGCTCTGAAGATGCTTCCCACAAGGCCCAAGTTGACAGAGATGACAAGAAACATAGGATGCAGCTGTATGCCCAAGGGATCCAGAGACACAACAGCTTTCCACACTTGTGGACTTCTTTGGGTGGAGAGTTTTCTTATGACTGAGGAAATTGATGCATCCATCAGAAATGAAGCTGATGCTGACTAAGAGGTTTTTCCTCTTCCTGTTACATCCTCTGCAGCTCAAGAGGGAATTTCCTGCCCAGTTAAGATTTGGAGAACCCATCCCCCATTCTCAGTACAGGGGTGAATAGGAAGCAGACCCAGCACAAGGACTGGCAGCTGAGGGGAAAGGGCAGATGCAGTGTGGGCCAAAAACCACAGGGCACCTGGCAATATGGCTCCAGTCCCCAGACCAGGCTGTCCCAAGCCCATTTTCCTGTCTGGCTGGTTCCTTCCTATCCTTGTTCTCTGCCCCAGCACAGCAATGTACAGCTCAGCCCCAGTGTCCCATGCTCCCCTCACTAACAAGCCGGACTTTAAGGAAAAAGAGTCARTCTTCCTCAAAACTCCCCATTAAATAGTGCTCTCACCGCCAGGCAAGAGATGAAGCTGCAGGGTAGAGGCATCTTTCCTTTCTTCTTGTACTACAGCAGCAACTGGGTTCAATGTACACAGGGAATACGACCTTTCCCATGTCAAAGATATTAACAAGGTTTAGACAAAAGCTCATCAATAATCAGTTTCTCTTTTCTGTACTTTTTTCAAGCTTGGACACCAAAACCAAASATCACTTTTGTTTCTTGCTTGTGGGCTGTCTTTGATGAGGGCTGGAATTGGTGGTGTCTACCCTTTGGAAGGTTTCACTGCTGTTCATTATACATGCACAAGATGGTGAAATTTACACTGGCATAAAAGTCCKAAGCATGCTAATGCTTTTTTTCAGGTTCAGTGCTAAGCTAGTCAAGTGTAAAACATCATGATGCTAATACAGCTAATAAACCTGAGTTGAAAAAATACATAAAACACAATTATGCTACTAAAACTTTTCAAGTGTAGACAAAAATAATCGCATACAACTAACAACAGCTTTGTGGAGCTCTCTAGACTATGAACATTGCCATATATTGTGTCAACACAGGGTATTTCCAATTTAATTATCAGTTTCATACACACAAACACACCCTCTTGTGAGAGTTCCTAGAGCATTAAAATCTTGTGCTCATTGCCAGCCATTTTCATTCCATGTTTGCCCTAGCCCAGGGCTAGCGTACTTGCCTTGTACACATTCCAGGGGATATTTTATTCTTGTTCAAAAGCTTACTGTCAGTGGGTTGTTTTATTTATTATATTTGGTAACACAGTCATTTCTGTTGGCCTTAAGCATTTGTTGAACACAAGGGGATAAACCAAGCTTGGAAACAGGCAGCTGGAGACTCCTTAGGAACTTAGATTTCTTACTCTACTTACTACAAATTCAATACTTTCCAAAGAGCACTTTGGTTTGCAGCTATTTACAGAAATCAGCATATRGGCAGCAGAGCTGAAGGTGAGAGGGTAATACTTTGTCCCCAGAACTCCTCTGGCTGTACTACTGATTCCGTGCTAAGGCATCTGTAACTACTCTTCCTCTGCTCTAATAATGTAAGTCTGCCCACTGCAGCTGGGAGCTGAGAGGGGAGCCCAAGCTCTTTTGGAGCCCAAGCTCAAGCTCTCATCACACAACAAGCACACAGCACTTACCACTGCACTGTCTCAGTGCAGGAAAYAGGGACCTCCTTCCCTGAGGAAACCTATAGCTTTCCTTCCCAMCAGCCCAAACAGATGAAAAACCTGGCTCTGTCCATACAACAAATCACACTCTGGTTTCCCAGAAAAACAGGAGTAGGCACTGGATGCACAGTGAGTGCCTGGAGTGTTTCAAGGAAATCGGATGCAGCCCACAAAAACTCTATCCCACTGCGTGGGACACAAGGGGAGASTAGTTAAATCCTCCAAGCCTGGGGAGAAAGGATGCCTTTTGTYGGATGACACAAATTTGGGAGCAATTAATAACAAAATACAAGAGCGGTGTGGTGGGGAAAGGGGCCAATTAGACACCCTGTCTTTAAATTGTGGCAGGTGCCAATCAGCAAACTCCAGTGACTGCTACAGCAAAAAGCCCATTCACTTTAGTTGATACTTGGCCTGAAGGCAGAGGCACAGAAGGGCTGGCACCTACAGAGCAATGGGGCAACTGTACTGATCTCCCCTGACAGCTCCCCTCTMACCTCACTTTCTCATGGCATTTGTAGCACCACCCGCTCTGTGATCTCCTTGGGGCCACAGAGCCTATGGACAGCTGAAGTCCTCAGAATTAGGCCGGTTTAACCGGTGTAGCAGCACATTTTCTGCTGAGAGTRCTCATGTCAGCAGAAGTCTGGACGGGAGATTAATGCAGGGACTGGTACTCTCTCAACAAGCAGAGAYGTTGCATAAGTTATGGGGCTGCTTGTTGCAGGGAACTTGTACTCCTTAAACTTAGCCTAGGAGTAATTTCCCACACGTTTCCCAAGACAACACTCCAGTGGGCACAACCATGCCCACAGTGTCCCAGAACACTTCGTGTCTGGCTTTTATGTTKGGATTTCACTCCAGTAGGGTGACACTGCAAACCTGCCTACGGGAGCTTGCACCCAAGACAGTCCTGACACTTACTTCTCACCCTTCCTACCCATACCCTGCAGCCTCAGTGACAACCAAGGCAGTTTTGCATTGTGAACACCTAACATACAATTGAAATAGAGAACGAAAAAAAACCCTGAAAACAAAACAAAAAAGAAAAAAACCAACAAACCCACTCTGCTACTCTCCTCCCCACCCTAAACATTCCAGCCTTCCCTGACACTAGAGAGGGGAGTTGTTTATTGACATTATGCAAGTACTGAAATATTTTTCTTTTTCTTCTCTCCTATCCTTTTCTCCCTCTCTCCCCCTCTCTCCTCCAGGGGYTGCAAAGGTAGTTCAAACCCCTCCAGTCATCTCGGCTTATCAGCCACAGGAGATACATTCCTCTGGGCTGCTCCCTTTATAAGTCAGTGCTGGCCGGGCGCCCGCCCGCCGCTCCGCAGCCTGCGCGCAGRGAGCGCTGCCCGCTCCGCGCTGCCCCCGCCATGCCCTAGCCCCGGGCCCGCTCGTCCGCCGGGGGACGCGCAGCAGCTCGGCGAGGGTCGGCGGCGATGGCACCCYTGTCCCCCTGCCCCGCCCGCCCCTGAGGGCGGCTGCTGCCGCCACGATGTTCAGCTGGCATCGGAGCTTCACTCCGGGAGCGCCCTGGAGGAGAGGTGAGTCCGCCGCCCCCCCCGGGGCCAGCCGGCGGCTGCCAACACCTCCCCAAACCCGCATCCCCGCCACCCCTTCCTTCCCCTCGGCGGCCGCGCAGACGGTACTTAGGACAAGCCCATCCCGGCCCGCCCTGGTCCCGGGCCCCGCCGGACGGGCACCGCGCCGCTGCCGCCGCGGCTCCATGCTGCGCTCCCTGCTCTGCGGCTGCCTCTGTCCCCTCGCAGGTAAGGCTGCCGTAAGCGCGTCCCCTCTCGCTTCAGCCTCCGGCCCGTCAGCCGCTRCCCCGGGGCCGGCGGGCACAAAGATCGCGCTTTAGGAATCTGTTTGATTTCCTCTTAGAATGGGCTTCATTCGCCTTGAGAAGCGCGGCAAAGCTTGGGAGAGAGGAGCAGGGGAGGCGGGAGCACTGTGGCTCCGAGCGGTCCGTGCTGCCCAGGGACCGGCACCCATCGGAGCGGCTCCCTTGGCACCGCGCGGGTCCGGCAGCACCGTGAGGCGGGTCGGGGCTGCCCTCTGCCCATCACGGCGCGGGCAGTGGACATTGGCTCGCTTTCTCGGCTGGTGTATCCCCATGCAACAGGGATTGTCGCGGGTTTGAAGTGTTCTACTTGCAGATGAGGTGACCCTGGCAGGAAGGCAGCTATGGTCTTGCAGCTGATCCCCTGTAACTTTTTAAGCCTCTTGTGCAAACAAATTTTGTGGTCTCAGTACGTCTTTTTCAGGCATAATGGAGCTACTCTGTTTTATCCTTAGCCAGAGCTGCAGGCTTTGAGATCACAAGCCCGAGGTAGCAGAATTCTCTTAGCGTCCCTGTTTACCCCTCAGCTTGGCTTGGGGCAGCTGTAAATGAGATCGGCAAGTTCTGTCTCATTGGCATCACTGCACTGGGCTGGTCTGCTTGGCATGGAGGTGGCTACAGAGTTGGTCAGAGTGTTAATGCAGTATGCAGTGCAACAGCAGGACGGTAAAGATGTTGCACAACACTGTTGTTTGGGGTTATACCTTCTGGGGTCCTGATTTTCCATCCCTATGACAAACCCTGCCTCCTGTGATTTCTGCAGCAATTTGTTCTCACGGAGTCCTTAGGGCTGCCACATTCGTGGGCATCTGCTCAGGTACTAACTGCTTGGATTGTGCTTCCCAGCTATCATCGTCTGGGGCAGCTACTCAGAGCTCAGTGTGAGCTGGAGCCTCTCTGAGGTGCCCTAGCAGGTAACTGCTGGGCACTGTTGCCAGCAAGGCTGCTGAAGCACGTTGCTCTGCCTGGGCTCAGTCTGGAAACTGCTACCCAGCAACACAAAGGGCTCTAGAGCTGTGCTGTGAGAACATGCCAGCATCTCCATAGGGTGTGGAGGGTGTTTGRGAAGTGTTTTACTGTATGAAGCGGTGGAAACTGCTCCTTCTTTCCCTGGATGTAATTTGACCATGAACTTACCTCCTCTGAGATACATAGTGCAAACCTAATGGCAGGGTTAGGAGGTAAAAGGAAGCTTGCTTTACCATACAAAAGTGTCCCTCACCACCCAACACAGCAGTATTGTTAATGGGGTAGTGAAAGCTTTGGTGCAGGAAGAGTTATCATACAGAGCACTGAGGGATCAAAAAGAGGTTCAGCTAGAATTTCTCCAAATGAGAAGCAGCAACACCACTGTCTAATCACATCAAGTAGAAAAAAGCACCAATATTATGTATGTCTTGGTTTGGACCCCATCTTTATTCAGGAAGAGCACTCTTGGCTCTTTCTTGCAGTCTTTGTGGCAGGGACTTAAAAGCTGCACCTCCAACTGCAATTTAAGATAGAGAATATAAATCGGGAAAAAAAGAGTTTTGTTTAAATGGCAGCTCAGTGACAGGGATTTAGGCTGGATCTCACCTGCCTCAGGGGGCTCTTAAAGCAGAAGTATCAGGATGGCAGGGATGTGCAAGTCCAGTTTACTGCAGTTACAGAATCACTCTGCATCAGCACCACCTCCTAATCATTTCACCAAGGGCCTTGTGTGGCCCCAGCAAGTGCAACAAACACAAAAACCATCACTGCTCTCACTGCACCATAAACGCCTTCAGACATGCAAGAGTATGGTTACACCTGTCCAGTGCTACCTTGTTTGAGCAGAAGCAGCTCTTCAGGGTTTTGCTAAGGGACAGCAATGACTGCACATGAAGAATGGGTTAACAGTGACCTTTCTAATACAATTCTCGAGTTCCTTTGGCTTCACTTGAAGCACTGGTGTCTAAATGGCCTTGGTCTTTGGGGCTATTGAACAGTTGTTTATCCAAGCTTATTATAGGCAATAAAACCTGAATTACTACATACCTGTCATCCCTGGGGGGCACGTTCCATCCTTGCAAAGGGCCTCCTGTCTCCTGGTTATTTTCTGGCTGAATAATCCTCTGTGATACGAGGCAGCCTGCAGATCAGATGTACAAGGAAAATTAGACTATTTTTGCCAGTGTGTGATATTTTTGTTTTCATTTTCTGTTCAGACACATCAGCGAGCTGTGTGCTAAATAGTCTTTTGCTGTTATACAGGGCTGCTCATGAAAGCACTGTTTCCTTTATTTCAGGAGAAGGATTYGCAGGTCTTTAGTGACAGCTGTCATCTCCCTGATAAAAAAATCTGACAAATAAGCACCATAGATGACTGTAGGAGCTGAGCCTCTTTCCTCCTTCATCCCCCCCCCCAGGACTGATTAGATTGTGGAGTAGGGAGGACTTGGGCACTGATCCTTGTGCACTGAAATTATCCTTGGCCTGTTTTTTCCACTGGGGCATAGATACAAAGAAATAAGTTGCAGGATAAATGCAGAAATGAGTGGGAGCAGAGCTTTAGCTGGTGCTATGCACAGGGTCAGGTGTTGGTCTAAAAACTGGTGACTGCCAGCCTACACAAGTAACTGATAAACCAGGTGGGCTGTGGGGACCTGCTGTGCCCCGGGACTTTCTGCCAGAGGTCACTAATCTATTAGACCTTTCGTTAGGTTTCGAAAACTTCACAGGTCACTTGGAATGAATAGGAGCRAGCTGTAAAAGTGTCAAGTGGCCTCTCTACTTGGAAATCCATTTCCTCTTTAGTTCACCCAACTATATCAATCAGTAAACAATCAATCAATCTCCCTCTCATTCCTCCTTGAATGCTTGAAAACAGCTATAATTATCTCCTCTTTTCTAAAACACAAGTACTAAAGCAATGAATGTCTCCTAAGTCAGGGTCCTTGAACCCTGTTATCTTCCTCTGGGCATCTACTTTATGTGGATTTTTATCATTACCACCTGCAGCTATGGGGACTTATAACATCTCTGGTCACATTGTATTACCAGCTAGGATCCTAAGGAGCCTCACAGGTTTAACTAACATTGAGACTACAGACCACCTTGGAGCCAAAGGATCTAAGTATTTTGTGCTTTTGCTCAAGAACTATCTGAAATCTCAGCATAGTCATGACTATTCCTTTGCATTCAACATTTCAAAATCAAATTRTGTATGTACGTTCATGAAATCTACACCCATTTCACTTCTCCAGCTGGATAAATTGAAGTTTTGAGAATTAGGTGTATCGTGCAAACACTGACACAACATGAGAGCATGTTACTCTGCAAATGTGAATTTTTCAGTCACAACTCCAGTAAAAATAAAAAAAAGAAACCAAGTAAACAAAGCAAAACAACAAAATCCGCCACCTTTCATATGACARTGATTTTCAAGCCTTCACAAGTTTCTGCTGTTGCAGATAGAAATTGTAACTGGTGCACTGAAGACATCAGACCCTGTAATAAGCTCTCCTTATAAATTTTTCAGCTCATGATTGTCCTAATTATTGAGGAGCASCCTTGCTCAGATTGGGCAGCCCAAGATCCAGCAGCATACTCAGCATGCTTTACTTGAAGGCAGAYAATTTGCACTTTTGGTGCCAAGCAGCACCTCTGCCATTGCCAGGACTGGGATCAAGAGTCCAGTAAAGCATCAGGTAGTCGGGAGGTCCCCAGCCCGTGGAAATCCATGGCAAAGCTGTGTGGAGACAGGTTTTTTATCACTCATTTTTTGGGGGTGGGGACTTTGCTTGTTGTTGGTTTGAGTTTTTTGGAACTGTAAGAGTAATTAAATTCTTGTGAGCACTGAGGTCCTGTCCGCACAAGGCGTGCCTGAGCCCACAGGGCTCTGCAAGGGACAKCTCTTTCCCAGCCGGGGGAGGTGACACAGCTCCTGCGTGGGGGCTGCTGAGGAGGTGCCAGCACGGCCCCAGCGCCCAGCCCCACCCCTCGGCACACATGGGGGAAAAGTCATCAGCAAAAAATGCCTATTGTTTCAGAAAGGAAGTGACCCCTTCTCTCTTAAATGCTGGGAAGTTGAGACCTCATCACTGGTGAGAAAAAAACTCACCTCTTCGAAATGAAAGGGAAATACCACCTGAGCCGTACTGCCAGAAGTGCTAGAGAATGKGGCACAGTGACAGAACTAAGGGAGACTTTGTAAAGGAAGGAAGGAAAATGAGGGAATGCAAGGATTGAATGGGAGAGGCARCCTTTAATTTCTAGGTCACAAGTTTGACTCTAGTGCACTAGTCACTGCCTCATAGTGATTCTTCAAAAGGTGACAATCATCTCTTAGTCTGTTACTTGGAGGCCACAGCCCCATCACAGAACCAGTTCTGCATGGCAGGATTTAATCCCTGGTGCAGCTGGAGCCAGAGAGGAGTTAGTAGGCAGGCGGTGTCCTCTATAGGATACTGAAAATTTTTTTCTGGTGCTTTGCATGTGCACCTTACTCCTGTACTCAGGGCTAAGCAAATTGGTAGGAGTAAGGTGGTTGGACTTTGGTCTTCCTTYACAGGGCAGCTGTGCAAAGTCCCTGCTACTCCAGCAACCCAAGTCATTGGTGATGCCCTTTATTGTTGCACAATAGAGTTGGAAARTACTGCCCTTACAAACTGTGGTGTCTAGGGTGTTGCATGTCTTGTGGCAGACAGCAGGAATAAATTCTCTCAGTATCTCTGGACAGTTCACCTTGCACAACCCACTATGGATGGGCTTGCTGTGCACATGAACCTTGCAGCAGCTCTGGGCACAGGCAGAAGGCTGCCATGGCTCTAACTCTGCTATCCTTTGCACGACAGCAGCAGATGCAGACAAGCAAAGCTTTGGCTCCAGTTGTGCCATGTTTAACAGAGATTGTCCCAATGCCAAGCCTACCAATCAGGATGAATATTTGAGAAGACAGGTGAGCAGAGGCTGGAAGGGAGGAGAGCAGCAAAGGGCAGGGCTGTATGGTATTGCTGTCTACTGCCATTCACAGTACTYGTCCCACTGCCAGCCTGGCCTCTTCCTGCCCACCAGTGCTTCCGTTAGTCACACACTCAGCAGATCATGTGCTGTGATACTGGAGTCAGTGCATCAGAGGCCAAAGACCCTCTCAGGGACGGAGCAGAACTTAACAGGTCTTGCACTGAAGGAATTGCCAGTGAAACACAACTTTTAGCCACAGGCTTAGATGCAAAAAAGAAAGAAAAAATCAGACATGGATTTCAGTACTTTGAAGCATGGGGATTTGGATGCAGCCTTCGGCTTGGTTTACTAGAAAGGTGGAAGTTTTTGCAAGAATTGGGCTTGAGCAGGACTGGAAATGCATAGAAGCCTGGGCAGTTATTTGAGTTTGTCCCATGCATCCAACTCACTTGGGATAAAGATRTTCCTTGAAAGTAATTTTATGTTTAGATATCTGCCCTCCTTCTCCTGGCCACAGATCTSTGTACTAATACACCAGGCTGAGTCCTGGCAGCTCCTAGTTATTGTGCAACTGGAAAAATACACTGCGACTTAAAACGTCCAAGAAAGGGAAGCCTTGGGACAGGAGCTAATGGGATGGTATTTACCTTTGAAAAATTTAAGTTTCTCTATTAGGCTATGCTAACTGTGAACACAGAAATATCCTAGAAAGAAATTTGGAAATGATGCAGAGCAAAGTTCTAGAGACTTAACTGGGACACTTCAATTCCTTTCACTCCCTACCAACTATTCTTCAAATATTGGCTGGTTCACTGGCACGACCTCCTTGGGAGTTGGGAAGCAGTCTGATTCTCCAGCTTTACAGGCGAAGCAAACCCAGCTTCCCAAGGTTACACACGATGACTTATCATCAGTTACAGGCATATATTTCAGTTCAGGGACCCCTGTTTATCTCTAGGGTGATTACCCAGCCATATAACTCTCTGAGAGGGCTACTAGGCAAGTAGCACAAGCTAGCCTGACACAATGTTTGGCCTGGGCRCACATGTTGAAGATGCTTCAGGAACCTGTACTGATTCTGAAGCATGCACACAAAACTCCACTCCTTCCCTGGTTGCCATACCCRCATACCAGCCAGCTCTGTAAAAACGACAGCATTTGCTACTTTACCCCACCCAGAAGGGTGTGGAAGATCAGTTTGGGGAAAAGAAACAAAAAACCAATAACAACAACAACAACAACAAAAAATCTTGGCTGAATTCCYGGGAGCAGCAGTGTCAAACCTGGCTGGCTTCCAGCACAAGTAAATACATCTTACCGTTGTTAATGCCACCATTCAGCTCTCTGAAGTTCTTCACACCTCCTTTCAGAAGCCTCCGTGCAGGATTCTGTGTAACCATACCCCTACAGCACACTCCCTCCAGTGCCAGGCAGGAGTTATCTCCCYTCCTTACTTTACTCAGGGCCCCTGGTATTGCTGAACAAAGCACTTACAGGCCAAGCCCTCAGCCAAAATTAGCTGGCACAGGTCTGTTAAGGGCCCTGGAATTGAGTTAATTCATAGTGGCTGAGGGTCTGGTCACTTTTTTTTTTTTTTTTTTGTAATTGGGCAGATGAGTTTTAATAGCACCATTCTGGCATTAGCAATATGCTTTATAGAACTGAGTGTTATTACATGCCTCTTTCGAGATCTATAGCAGGAACAATCTGCTTGTTGGAAGGCCCATGGTTTAGATTCTATAATCCAGTTAACAGAGAGAAAAAAGAAAGTGTTCTGTCACTGAGGCGCAGCAAGAATAACTTGAGTTTCAGGTCACTGCCTTAATCATTTGAGATCTTTCTGCTATAGTACARATGACTTCACTGACCATGACAAAATATCATTGAATGAAAGAGGACGAGGTGCCTAAGCAAAATCCTGTTGTCCTTTGCCATTATTCTGATTTTGTGGTAGGGGGATGATAACATTTTGCATCATTACAGGGCGTTGGAAGAATAAATCAGAAATGCTCAAACACTGTGGTTAACACAGTGACCACAGAGTGAGTCTGACCTGAGAGTGATGAGAGCAATGGTTTGCAGCCTAGAACAGATAAACAAGAAATTTTTGTGAAACATGTTGCTAGTGACCACAGTAAGGGGAGAGCAAAGGACTGTTGTTTGCATCAAGGTSACCATCCCACAGAGGATCAGAGATTGCATCTTACTGTCTAGTTTGTCTATTCCTTCCAAACCTTCTTGACCACATTGCAGCTTTTGTAGTAATAAAAGATACTCATTAAAGTGTCCRACATCTTCTGTAAATAGCGAGACCTCATTTTAATATGGTGCTTCCTGATTTTAGACAAAGAAATACTTGTGTAGGCAAGGGTAAAACCAGTTAAGCAAGAAAAAAAAGGGGCAGATTGAAAGAAGTGAGAGAATCTCCAAAGAAAATCATGCATGATTAATAAATGCAAGTAATCAGTCTGTGGGAAGGAACTACCATTGCATATAGTAATTCCTGGTAAGAGTGACAGCTGTATGATTTGTTCTTAAAAATAATTGCAGGAATGCAACTGCTGTCCTCCTGACTCTCAGTGGTTTTGTTGGCCATCTGGGGTAGTGATGCCATCAGAAGAACCTGTAAGCCTTGTATTTTTCATGCAGATAACAATGCTTTGTCTCTTGCTGCCAAGAGGTGTTTGCAGCTGAGCAGGTAGATCCTCTTGACTCCAAATCAGTGACTCTGTTCCACCTCCTCCTTCCAAGACCTGGCACCCAGCTCCCTCATACAGATGATGTTTTGCTGTGTGTGAAGCTGCAAACTGTTGCCCTATTGTCCTCGGTTCAGGGTCTCTCATGCTTATTCCAAAGTGGAAGAATAACAACACAGCCCAGCACAGACAGCTCCTGRTGAGCTTTCCTGGGCATTTCCCTGGGCATTGGCTTTTTCTTGTCCTGCACCACAGCAATGCAGTGGTGTTGTATTGCTGAGGTCTGGCACTGACTGTCCCAGACATGGCTCTTTGCACTGGGGAGATGCCTCCCCAATAAGGATATGCATATGATAAACAAGATCTTATATATGGGGTATTAGTGCTTATATAAGGGGTACTATGTGCCCATGGGCCACAAAWAGCCCATCAGATGGGATTATTTGTCAGTGACTGCCTTTTGTGAAAATCCAGTGTAAAATATTAAATCAGTGSGTGTCTATGAACAGCAAAGGGCATGTTTCAGTGGTATTCCAGGAAATTCTCAAGATCAAATAAAGAGAATTTAAATATTTTAGAAAATCATCCATGTAAGAGTTAGCTTGGCCTTAATGAGTAAAAGTCTTCCTTGTCTGAGTACATTGCAGAAAGCAAGCTGGAGGAKGGAGAGTTGCAAAATGGGTTATTTTTGAAACAGAGAGCTTTCTGGGTTTCCATAAAGGAGARCTGCACAGCAGAGCACTCCCTTCTCCACCGTTGTGGGGTGGATCCCAGGCTTTCCTGCCTGTGTAGGGACACTTACCTTACAGGGAGTGAGTTTGTGAAGTTGCTGCTCCATCTATATGCAGGCAATTACTAAAAAGACACCTGGCTACATGTGTTGTTTTCTACCTATCTACCAAATCAGAATTGTGCTTTTTTGAGCCCCCTGAAGGACTCTGAGGCTATAAACCACAAGGCTATTGTTGTACCAAAAAAGCTACTAGAAAGCTCCATATAGCAAGAAAAACAAATTAGGGCTGCCCCCCTCTACTGACTTGGTACAGGCAGTTTTGCATTCCCCATCCCTCAGGGGATGCATTAAACACTGAGTTTTGTAGCCTCYTGTGACCTTCTGCTTGTTTTCTTTTAAGCAGGTAAGAAGAGCCCACCTGCAGAGGACAAAGTTGTGTTAACACACATGAAGATACTGAGCAATGAAGGAATTCAAAACCCAGGGTTAATCCCAGAGGCTCCAACTGACACAGCCTGCACAGAAGAGTCCAATCTTCCCGGTGCCAGTCTCCCAGCAGACTGCCTGGGAAGTTCAGATGCAGCAGCCGCACCAGCAGATCCAGACTATGCAGATGGCCTGGCAAGCACAGACTATGTAGCCACCCTGCCCGACCTCAGYGCCTTTGAGTCCAAGTGCCGGCTTCACAGATTCTCCAAATTTGAATCTGAGGACTCAGGGGTTGAGTTGCCAAGCGGGGCAAATTCTCCATCAACTCCGACAGGCTCAGAGAAGAGCTTTGTGCTTCACAGCAGAGACTCATTTTGTGACTCAGGTGTGCTTAGCACCTCTTCTTCTCCAGAAATTGACCATCAGTTAATGAGAACAAGTGAAGAASATGCCAGAAAAGTCAGCCTCCAAGATCCAGAGAGCAAAAATCAAGCGGATTACTACAGCCAGGAGGCAGATGCTGTGCAGGATCCTACAGCTTCCCTTGAAGACTTCAGTGCCCCTCAGGAAGAAAGTCCCARTGAACATTTTGACCAGCATGACCGGCAATCTCTGGAAAAGGAACCTACCCCAGAGATGGACCTTTGCAGGGAAGGCACTCTTTCCACYCCAGGTCCCATAGAAGAGCCAAAGACAATTGCTGATGATTTCCCAGAGAATTTTGCCAGCACGCAAGACCTTCAAATCCATGAACATCAGCTGAAGAAGTACCCCACAAGTGACAGTCTGGATGAGTACATGGATGAATGCTGTAGACTAAGTGAGGTAAGAAACACCTAAACTGAATCTAAGCATGTCCAAACACCCCAGTCAGTGTTCAAGTCCTGTTTGTCACAAACTAGGAGTGTGTTTAGAATATCTCCCCTGAAACTGTTGTATGCAGTAAAAAATGGTAATTTATTTTTAAGATTTCTTTTCGTATCAGTAAAAATCWGAAGTAATTCATAAATGTCAAGTCTGGGTAAGGATGACAAATGACTTATGGGTTTCAAAAAGCCTTAGATTACAGGGTGGACTTAATTTCGGTCTCAAAATGAAGATTATGAAGTTAGTCATCATCCTCTGATACATGAGGTGAGGGTCAGAACTCAGGTTTGTTTTCAAGGCCAGGTTATTCCTGTCTCTAGGARCAGCTGGACTGCTTTTGGGACTGAAATTTGTGCAGAACTTGTCTAAGGGATAATTCATTTCTATCCAGGCCTGTTGTGTCCTAATTGTCTAAAATAATGCATGAGCAGTGAGCTAATTGTCAGATTCAGATCTTTGTCAGGYTGGAGCTGGAGATACCAGTTTAACTTGCYMGCATAGCTGTGATGAACCAAAYTGCAAAGATCTAATTTCAGCAGGCWGTCCTACTCCATACTCCCTCTTTCCCCTTGCTGGCTACCCTGTGCCRCTGACAAGAGAATAAAAATCCCTTCTGTGCACACTGTAGTGAACTCCAGGAACCAGCAAAGAAAAKATCTCAGTGGGGAGTTGATTCTTGACAGAGAGACAGACCAAAGAGCCCCATGAGCAAAGGGAAAGGAGGAGGGCAGACCAGGTGAAGAGGGTCACACAAATACACARAAAGCATCAAATGGTGCCTAGTGGGGATTTCTTTTTGGGGTGTTCATTGTGTAATAGTGATTAATTGGAATTAGAGATGGGTAGAAGGAAGCTAAGTGACCAGTGATGTGTGCTGTGCATGTAATTTAACAATGACCTCTCTGCCCTGAACAATCAGATGCTGGACTTCCTCTTCAGCATGCCAAATCCTCTTGAGCAGGGAGGAAGGTCAGAGATGTCCCATCTCTGTTAACATTGCATATCAAGGCAGTACAAACAACACACAATCCATCTGAGCACTGTTTTTCTCTCTGTCTCACACATGGCAGAAGACAGATGTCTATTTGCACAGATCCCAAACAGACTTGGCCATTTGGCAGAGAGCTCAAGAAAGGCTCAGAACAGAATCTGACCATAAGGAGACTTCATAAAAAGTTACCTAAATTTTCTGTTGCTCTCTGGAGGGTTTGCAGCCAGATGTGGTCTTGTCTGACAGCTCTGTRTGCCTCTGAAATTCATTTAAATCCTTGGTGAAATGGAGCCTCAGTTTCGCAAAGCAGAGCATTTAAATAAACAAGAGAATAAATTAGAAAGAAGCTGAAGAGGAAATRAAGCTCTTGGTGGCTTATCTCCCCTCCTTTTTAATATCCTCACTGGCTGTGCTAAAGCTTTGTGCCCTGGAGCACTTTTCTGTCTTTGTTTTTTGAGCTGTATAAATACAGCTGTGACCTAGATGCTGGGGAAGTTTACCCCTCCTCACAGCACACCTCCAGGCTGCTGTATCTCAAGACCAGCACTCCTCAAACTGCTGGGATGCCAGGTAGCACCAAAGCTGACCTGGGCAAAAAATGCCCATGGGCTGCTGCAGAACTCTGCAGCACCAGGACAGCCTCTGGCAGCTGCAGAGCCCTCTGTCATCACCAAATCTGCACCAGGCTGACCTGTCCTCACTGTCATACAACAGACACCTGTTCAGAAGTGATGTCCAGATGGTCATCTGACCATACAGCTGATGGATGCATCTTGGTTTATCCCATCTGAGGCTCTGTTCCAGGCTTTCTCTGTGGTTTTCACATCTGCCTGTAACCTGTCCAAGACACAACACGGTACCTAGAAATCAGTCTCTACTATGGCCTGATGTCTTCTGAGGGACTCAGCTACCCCTGGAAATGAATGAATATTGTCTGAAAGAAAGCAGGCCAGCACAGTGTGTTTCCACCCTGCTTGGCAAGAACATGGCAAACCAAATTGCTCCATCAGATTCCTGCTGCATTAAATTAACGTTGATAGAAATGCAAGAGTGCTTACACTGGCTAATAATTAATGCTAGGTGAGAGCATTATTTAATTATAGAGGACAGCAGTTCTGTTGATGGTTTTGGGAACTTTCAAGTAACAGAAGAGCAATTGAGTTTCCCCAGCCCAACTGTTTGTGGCAGTGCTACTGTGCTTACTGGCTCACCACAGCCAAAGATTCAGTCTCTGGATGAAGTTGTCCCTTGATTCCTCYTGACCATCCCTGGCTGCTAAGGCCAATTCCAAGAGAACAGGAAGGAAAATGCTGAAATAGAAAGACTGGAAATGACCAAATGTTTTGACCTTTGGATTCAGTTGGTGAATGGCTTCGGCTGAAAATATACATCAAATCATTTCAGTCTGGCATTTTTAGACAAAGGTTTCTGATCTTTTGTTTTGAACTGTCATTATTTTGAAATTCGCCTACATTTTGAAAGATGAAAGAAAGTGGAAGCTGTCAAACAACAAAAGAAAGAACTTTGAAGCCTAAATAAAAGCATTTCCTTTTAAGTTTGAAGATACATAGTTTTGGTGCTTTTGCTTTACAAACACTTCCTCACACTCCATGAAGTTTACATTTAAAATCAGCCCAGCCCATAGCCCTAGAAGAATAGAGTGGCAGCACTGTCATCATTAAATGAAAAAGATCATTATTCATACAGTGCTATTTATCCTGGGCCAAAGCAGTCAAAATGTTTCTCTGCAGAGTGGCACAGTTCAGGGGAAGGATAGGGCTACCTGTGATGGTCAGCCCCATAGCCTGTGCGTGCTGCTTAAAGGAAACCAGAAGCTATCAGCAAGCACAGCCCCTCCTGGACAGCAGGGTGGAGCCATCAGAAATACACAGCACGATCCCTCTCTTTCCTGTTATTCACAAGCCTTTTGGTGCTGTCAGCTTCCAGTGACAAATGCTTCCCGCTCAGCCTGTGGCGTCACAAACTGGTTGCTGTGAGCCCGTGAAGGGAAGTGCAGTCACCACGCTGCCTATACCAGCTATGTCACATTGCAAGAGTACACAGTGAGGGATGTATGGGAGGATGGAGTGCAGTGTAACCCAAAACTATCCACAAGAAAAGTGAAGAATGTTGTGTGATGTGCAGAAACCTAAGGCAGTGCAAGATACATCAGTGAGCTCTTGTCTGAATGAAGAAAAGCTTTCCCTGCGAATCGCCTGTCATCTTCAGTTCCTGCTGCCAGGTCTAGCCCAGGACAATTCTCCATTGAGCCCAATTGAAGAAAAGCACATCACATGCATCCAAGTAGCAGATAATGGCTGAAATGAGGCAGGCTATAATGCTGACTAGATGATCAGACTTGCAGATTTTGATTATACATCAGTTGGCCAAGAGGCTTGRAAACAATTGTCATTCTTGCAGCTCCCACTAAACTTCAGATCTTTGTTGCACTCAGATGCTGCAGTGAGCACRTTACCCAGAGGCAAGAGGACAAGCTCCCAGCTCTGTGAGTTGGGTAGCCTCGCTGGAAAAGATGTGATTTACATCAGTCAAAATATTACTGGAGGGCTCTAGATAAGTCAGATTTCCCAGTATAGATGCTGATCCTGTATTTTTAAGCTTCCTAAGAAACCTGTTGGCCAGCATAACTGTCACGATTTATTGCCAGGGACACACATACTGAAAACCTGTCCCCAAAACTTAGTCAGGTGAGCACTGACAAGGGCAGAGATCCCTCTTTAGTTACACAGGTGAACAGTCAATGTAATGCACCTTAACCCCTCAGAGTCAGTGACAACATAGGATAGCTGGGAGCCTTTAAATCTGTCTCTTCCAAATGAGGGTCTGGCTCAGTCTCATGTACCTAAAAGCAAAATCTGACATCTATTTATATATTACGTTGTTACTTTCCTAGAGAAACTTTAACCATTTGATTCATAAATTGTGTCTGTACGATCCTCCACATCTTCGCCTTACAGAAAAGTAGGCAAGATGTTTTTCCTTCTTCATAGGCTTCATCAACTCAAAATTGGGCTTTTGTTTCAACTCTTTTTGACAATTCCCATTTGGACAGAGTARGACAAATTTCAGTTGTGAAGCTTCAACTGGGAGGACAAAGAATGGAAGAGACTCATCCTGGAAAATGCTTGCATTTTCCTGTGGTTGCTCTCTGTTCACTACTAGTGTAAAACTGTGTCACAGGTGCTGACAGAAAAATATTTAGACCAGGTTCTGTGCTGCACTTGGCCTCTGTCTCTTCTCCTCCCCCTTGCCCATTTTTGCCCTACAAACTTAGCAACCATAGACCTGAAGCAGGACGCTACAACATTAGGCACAGGACAAATACGGAACAAAAAGAGGGTCTCTAACTGAAAGAGGTCACAGTCAAGTGCTTCATTATTTTTCTCCCGTCTATTTTAGAGCCAAATGTTTTACTTCATCCTATTCTCCAAGACCTCCTCTGTTCCTTGTAGCCTCTCCTTGTGTTTCCACAGCTACAGTGGGTTGTATTTAACTCAGTGTCTCCTTAGGGCAATACAGACATGCCACCAGTCATGCAATAGGAAACTGGCAGAAGGGGCGTTGCTAGATGTGCAAGAAGAAGGTACAGTGTGACAGAAAGSCTATATTTTCAGGGATAATGAGGAATTTCTGACTGTTCATTAGCAAAGTGTACAAAAAAGACTGTTCATTTTGGGACAGCTCAAAATGGTCATATTTTCAGAAGCTGATACTCATGTACTTTCTGAAAATCACGCTTCTGAAACTGGGCACCCCCAAATCCCTTGCAGCTTTCAGATATGTTAGTTATAGTACTTTGAATCAAGCTTTTCCCACCAGATACCAGATAAGCTTTGTTTTCTCTTTGGGTTCTGGGGCTGTGCACCTTCCCACTACACAACCACACTAAGTACTCAGTTTTATGGCTGAGTAACTTTTGTCTTGCCACACTTCTTGCAGGCTCTGCCTGAGAGGAAAATAAAAGTCATTAAATGAATGACTGGTTGACTTGGAGTCAACAACCTCTGTCCCAACTTCAGACACAAAAGCATCTGGATTTAATAATACCTGTTTATAAATAACATTGTATCATCATTTGTTTAGAAAGAAGTAAATCCTAATGCTGATTATTTTTGAACACACCATGAGCTTTCTGACATAATGAAAAGACAGGAAGAGTCCCAGGGCTGGCATTTCCCCAAAAATGTAGATTGTTGTGGGAAAGGAGACAGAGTAAGCTTCCTGCTTTTGTAGAGGGAACTTATTTTTTGAAGTAAGATAAACTTAGAGCACTGCTTTTATAAAGATCGAGGCTTATTTTACTCACCGATATCACACACACATCAGCAGGCAGCGCCAAGGTGGAAGTGAGCCCCTGCATGTGTTTGTTAGCAGCACGTTCRACAGAGTCCGATCACGGCACAGGGGAGGGCACTGGCACCAGAAACACTGAGGTGCAGAGCAGGAGGCTGGGAAGCATTGTAGCTTTTCCTCTGCYATAGGATTCCTGTATGTCTCCAGCACTGCCCTTGTCTGAGCAGCAGTGAGACTCTAGCAGGTCCTGGGTGAAGAGAAATCAGYGGTAGAGATTATCCTTCCACAGCCAGACTGCAAAGTTGATCCTGCATACTTTCTTCAGGCAGGTCTTCAAGACTGAGAAAGTAGCAGCAGGGATGTTAGCTGGGATTTACTAATGACTGCTGGAAAGATGTTCTTTCACTTTGGCAGCTTGGTTCAAGTACATGTGTCTTGCAGACAGACCAGTGATGAGGGTCTGAGTGCAGGAGACAAAATGTACYCCCAGGTTGGTCACAACTCAGCAAATCAATGGCACCTGCAGATACAGGCCTTTGGGTAGGAGCCAAGCTTTGCTTTAGTACACATAAACATGAGGACAGTACACATGCACTAAAGACTATGGGCTAAGTAAGCCATACTGGCCCCAGCCAGCTGTACCATACAGTAGAACCATATTTGTTTGTAAGGYTTCTGTGGCAAGTAAAAGACAAAAGTTAGCTAGGGAAGTGGAACCAGAAACAGGCTGTCATGAAGTTTTCCTCTGCACCAGCATGTGATCAGTCAGAAGAGTCCCTCTGACAGCAGGTATTACTGAGGAATCCAGAAAAGAGCTTCAGCAAGTGATGCTGTATGTTCAATCTGTGTAAGACCAGAGCCCCTTGCAAGAGGAAGCCTGGGTGTGTCTTTATCACAACACTGTAAGGAGTACGCAGGGCTCTCAGCTGCTAGTAAGAATRTTCTGTTATTGCTGCATGGTCTAAGATGCATTGTCATTGCAGGTGAACCAAGGTAACAGCAAAGCCCTGGGACCTGGTCTGGGATACCTAGAACACATCTGCCAACTGATTGAGAAGATTGGGCAGCTGCAGGAGCACAAYGTGCGTCTCCAAAAAAAGGTGTGCAGCTTGCAGAAAGAGCAGAAGATGAATCAGATCAAAGAGGTAAGCAGACACCATAGTATCTTCCACTGAGTAATAGAGTAATATGTCTTGAGTAGTAAACTTAAGGCTCAAACAGAAAGTTCTGTCTAAGGGAAGATGCCAATTTAACAGATCTGACACCCACCTGGGCTGGGTACTTTGGGAGGTCTTGCCCACCATAATGGACTTAGATTCCTGAAGCTGAGCTTGAGTTTCTGTTTCTATGCAGTTTTGTTTCTCACATGTGTTTGCTTCTGTTGAGTTAAAAAGCACCCTTCTCATCTCATTTGATGACCAGCTCTAAGTCAGTAACTTTCATTTCTCTACAATTGTAAACTTTCCAAGAACACATCTCCTCTCCTCAATGCCATCAAAATAAAATCCACAGAGCTCCTCAGCAATTGTATTTTGAATTATAAGATCTTTCATTTCTTTCTGGTTTCAAACTGTCAAGATCACAGAATTTCTCAAAAAACAGACACCATGGGAAAGAGAAACAGCACTATTGTGATCCAGCTCCATGATTTTTTTCCCTTCCTGTGCTCCTGAGCTGCTAGATAGATCTCTGACATGAAACATTTCAGTGTTCCCATTTGTAATTTTTATCAGTCAGAGATAGCTCGAAAATTTGACTGAAATTTTGCAAATAATTTCAGGGTCTTCCTAGTATTTTTGAGACCCTGCATATTTTTTTCAGCTCTACCCCACCTCTTCTTCCATCGTTACACCAGATTTCCATTTTTTCCCTGCCTTTTTGTTTATTTTATCACTCTCCAAAGGAACAGAAGGGGTTTGTCACACTCAGCTATTTCTTCCATGACGTGCTGTGGTGAGTCTTTTGTTCTCCCGATAGTGTCATTGTTCCCCTGGTGCTGCTCTCCCACCTGCTGGGACTGGATCTGCAGTAGGTGACTGACTCCTCCTCAGAGCCAAAGCCAAGTTCTGAGTCAGGCTGCAGAGCAGAGTAGCTTGTCATTTCCATGTACCCATCTCTCACACTCAGAGGAATGCAGCCTCCTACACAGAGCCTGGGAATTGTTAACACATTTCCTGAAGCTTTACAACTGTGAGTCATTGCTCAGAGTAACTCTTCCAAGCTGCAAACTCTGGTGTATGTGCCCCCTCCCCAGCTCCCACTGAAATGAAAGGCATTGTGCTTTCATTTAAATATTAGTGACTTTGATCTTTTTGTTACTCCTCAAGATCTCTCAGTAGTGTCTTCAGATGCATTTGTCTCATGCTGTTCAGTGGGGAACTGGATCCTCAGATCTAACATTTAGTACTTGCRGTGAGGTCTGCAAAAATGGGCGCTCTCAGGTATCCTGTGGTGCCTGCATCTCCTATGTGTGAGCAGCTCTTCATCATTTTGTTCTTCAGTCATAGCCCCTCTGAGTAGAAGAGGAAACACTACTACCCTATTTGCCATGAAATATGAAGATTGCTGTCTGCAATTTGGAGGGCATCCAAAGGTTCCTTTACAAACCACATTCACTCTCCATGTAGACTATGGGCACAGAAASGTTTCCATGTCCCAGACAAGGCTAGGGAAGACACAACTCCCAAAACAGAGGTGGGTTAGCAGGGTATTAAGAGCTGACCTTGAGGATTGTAGATAACCAGCACTCCAAATGCTGTTCTTGAGAGGTGCACAGATATCACCACTGAAGTGATGTTTTGACCCTGGGACACAAAGGAAACACTGCTGCTCCACATCCTTTGCTTTATTCTATAATACCATGGAGCCAAAACCAACATCTTTCATCAAATTTTCAAAGCATCTCCAAAAAGGTATAGGAAATGCAAAGTGCCACACTGCTGTGACAAAGTATCCAGATGAGAAGTGACATTGAAACTGTCAGTTGCCTGGGGGTCTCCAGAGGTGCTCAACTAGTGTTAGCCTGTCCTGGTTCTAACACCAATAAACAGTTTGGTTCCTTTTCTGCTTCAGCTGGATAAAGCTCTCCTTCCTTCCTGCYCTGCTAAACTCTACTGTAACGTGGTTGTTCAAGATAGAAAATTGCCTCTTCTCTACCCCACCAGCAACAGTAGAAGTACACTGGCTGAAGTACCACATACAGTCAATCTGGCTGGTAACATGCAAGAGAACTATGGCATCCCATCAATAAAAATACAAGATATTGTTGTCTGTRCATGCTCCAAAACAAATAACATCTTAAAAAGCCAGTCATTGTTATAACTGATCTGTTTATTTACACTAATGCTTTAGCTGGGCAGCTCTCTGTTTAGAAACTAGCATTCAATTCCTTCTGGGAAACAAACTGAAAAGATGCTGAGTATCAGGCAATTTAAGTTAAATGCTAATGAMGCCATGAAAGCTCTGTATTACTTAATCCAGTTAATAATTACTGAATTAATTAATTAATTTATAACTTAAACTTAATTAAGTTCAGCCTTTTAGAGAATTAAATATTTTGTATGGGTTCTGGGGACCTGTTCCCAGGACAATGATGGATATCCTTGGGCTGGAAAGTTTGCAATTTGTCTATACTATGGCACCACCAGTTACCTTGGGCTGTTGCAGCCTGAGAGCCTGCATAATTTTTTTTTCATCTGGTATAGGAATACCTTCTGCAGCAATGCTCCTGTGGAGCTGCCAGCATCTTCCTCAACTCATATCAAGATGTGAAAACAAACTTTGCTGGGAGGAGCAGACCTCATAGTCTCTTGGTTCAGACTGGAAACCCTTCTGATCTTTCCATCATCCCAGAAATAGGAGCMAACACCGAGAAGCTGAGCAGCTGCAACAGTGAGTTCAAGTACCTCTAACCTGCCCTCCCATTTGCCACCACTTGGTCACATAAGCTGACCAGCCACTTTCTTTTCTCTAGGGAAGACAGTTGGGAATAGAGCAAGGCTTTAGTATAACTAAACCCTAGCTGAAATCCAAGAGAAGCAATTTTAAATGCTCTGTCTATACCTAGGATTTTAACACTGGCTGCTTCACATGTGTAAATCAGGGTTTTTTGCTTTGCAGCTGTGGCCATAAAGATTAGGATGAATGYATTATAAAATAGGTCTTTCATATGGAAATTTAGCATGCCTAAATGGGATCATTAGTGGAGCCCTCCTCAATGTGGCGTTAAAATTCCTGCAGGCAAGACAGGATTTGATCTAAGATAGAAAGTCTTATGCCTGTTGTTAGTGTCTTACCTTCTCAAGCAGGCACAGAATACAATCATGAAGGATGACTTACTCTATAGGCCAAGTGGAAATAAGCCCCAGCTGCAATGGTTGGATCGAGAGACCAACTTTTCCAGAAGGCTGAGAAACACTGAGCTCAGTCTACTAATGATAAAGCCAGATGAAAATTCTGRATCCAATGTTAGATGTGAACCAGCTCACTAAATGAGTCTGATTAGTTTATTTCAAACCTTGGACTTCAGCCTGTCTCTAATACCTGGTGAAACACAGAACAACCTGCTAGCAGGATTGAGTCAGAGCCTTTGGGAACACGTGGGGTCTCATCCCATCTTTAAGTCCTTAGGGTTCTCATCCCATCTGAAGTCTTAACTTGCTGAYAGCACTGCGCAGAGGCCATCCTAGCAGAACACTGCTAAGAAATGTGAGCAAGTCCTTGCATTTCATTTCAGGAAGTGAGAGAAACCCAGAATCAGAAAAGAGCCAGCCGATGGTGGGGCTCAGGAAGTCATCAAACAATAGAAACAACAAGGAGAATGAGTTCAGAGAAGCTGGGAATACGGCTGAGGGACAGGCTCCTCCATCAAAGGACCCTGCAGTAAGAAAGGTGAGTGATAAGCTTGGAGCCAGACTCTGAGAGGAAACTGTGGGAGAAGCAGTGAGAAGTTCTGCTCAGGCAGATCAGARTAAGGTACCAGTAGAGCAAGCCAATCTTGTATGCTACCAAGTCGAGCTGGGCCAGTGAGGGTCAGGGGGGTCTTTTCTCTCTGCTCCCAGCCTTAAATGAAGAAGGACTGTCTTTATGCCAAGAAAAGCACAAATGTATCACTGGTGCAGGGGAGAGGAGCACTGCAAACAGCAGCATGGGGTTTAGTCCTCACCAGCTCCAGATAACTCAATGTGTGGACTTGTCATAASTACTTCCACTACCTTTGCTRGTGAGATTAAACAAAGCATTCATTGGMACTTACRAAAATTGTAATGKATCAATCCTTAGCTGGCCACACTTWTTAYCAGGCTGGCAGCATATCAATGTAATTAGCTCCAGTCCTCAAATGTTCYAGGGCATGTGTTTCAGCAAATCTGTGTCACTGAAGTCCAAGACAGCCAGGATGAATGCTTTCCTCTCCCTTTCTTTCCCATTGTTTGTGTCTGCCTCAGCACTTTCACGTTCCAGTGGGGATCAGAAGTGCTGAAATGCCAGAGCAGAGACTCTAATCAGAGTATTCCCAGCCCAACAGGAAAAAGGAAGGAGTAGGTCTCTCATGGGAAAGACCTTCTCGTGAAATCTCCACCCCAAAGTTGCGAATAGGTCACAAACACTTCAGTGAACTTCAGAACCCAAATTAAGGCTGAGTCCTGAAAGGTGCTCCATGCTCTTGGCTTGTGTCCAGCCAGCTTTTGGAGTATTTTAAGCACATGGGAAGTTCTGATGACCTCACAGGACCGTAGAACCCAGACCCATGCTTTTTAAACTGAATCCTCATCTTCTCTTGGTACATCACACCTTAGTATTGTCACTTAGTTTTGGATTTTGTATCCTGAGCATGAAATGTCCCCTTTATTCCWACAGTGCAAGTACTGTATGGGAATTCTGTCTGCGACACTCATCCCTAGGCTACTAGGAACTATACACATGAACTGGCAGTCTAAAAAGAGGTGAGAGGTGGAAGAATAAAGAAAGGATTATCACACATGTGAGGGACTGAGTCTAAAAAGAGATAAAGGACTTGACCAAGGCTATGGGTATATTCCAGGGCAGAGCTGAGAACAGGCTGAGAACAGAGCTGAGTCTRTTGCAAACGCTGGGAGATGGTTTCACTGTCCTAGTATTTTACAATGTATTTGCCTTTTGTTTTTAGGCTCTGGACATCAGCAAGAACATCTCGGTATGTACTGCCTTTCAGAATATATTTAATTTGTGTCTACATTATCGCAGACTAAGCCCGTGTAGTACAGAGCATTATATGAACAAAAGAGGTTGGCTCACCCCCAAAGTTTACTCTCACTGAGGACAGGAGCATCAGCTGCTCAGGCATTCTGTGGTATCAACAGTGCTTGTTGTCTGAAGCAACAGCAGCACAACGAGGGACTAACTGCTGARGCCTCAAAACCCTTCCACACAGGACACATTAATCCCAGCAGTAAACACAGAGGTTTGCTATTTCCATGAGTAAACAGTCTCGCTTACAGGCAATTAACTCAATAGCACTGAATCAGGTGTTGCAGTTCTCAGCTGTGTGACCTCATCTGAAGTTTTTACCTGAAAACTTTRCAGATGCCCAAGAAGAACTACTGCAATAGGCATTGCTGGGGCTGCTMAGTGTGGCTGGGCAGCTGCCAGGTTGTGCTCTCAGTGTGGCCACAACTCCTGCAGTAATGGCTCTGCTGGTGGCACAGTGAGAAGGAACCTCAGGACAGGGCARGACAATGTCGGGAACGTGACAATGGTTTGAGAACTTCACTGAAATGGGAATAATTTCTCTCAGTAATGCTAGTTCTGGGGCCTTAACTAATTTTAGTTCTCTTTTTCAGGTTTTCCAGTCATCATTTCAGGAACTTTAAAACAATATAAGACAAAAAAAACCATGAAWTTTTTTGATTCATAACTCCATTTAGTTCACAGGTCCAGATGAGCCCAACTTGGAGAGGACAAACTTTAGGGATGGCCTCCTGAGCCTCTCTGACCTCCTGATAATCTCTATTAGCATTTCAAATGTAAGAGCCCAATAGCTGTGGCTTGTGGACGTGACAGGGAAACAAAGGCTTGATCTCTGCTAATTCATGGTCCACAAAAGTTACCACCTTAAAAGAGGCTGATACYAATGCACCTGGCCTAACAGAAAGGATAAGAGAGTCAAAGTGYTTTTTTGGGTTTTGTTGTAAAGGCCCCCTGGGTGCATGTGAGTAGGTAGGAAACCAAACCAATCTTCTTCTTTAGTACAGTATAACAATAGGGTAAAACGTGCCCTTAGGCAGCTACTCAGCATTCACCAGTGCGGTGCCCTCACTCTCTGAAGCCTTAAGTCAGAAAGAACAGCAGAGTCCTAGGCAGAGGAATGGGAATGATACCAAAACAAATCACAAAAAATGATGGTATTGCAGTTCATCAATCCTGTCTCCTTGTGTCCTATAYAAGTACAGGCTGTCCACTGGGTGTCACTGCACAGTGTTAAAAATTCTTTTGTGGGCCCTGACCCCTATCTGTCTTGAAATAAAGACACTTCCCTCTTCCCACCACCTTGGAAAACCCTGAGGTATCATAGGTTGGCAAGATGAAGTCTGCCAGCAACTTGCCTCTGGTCCTTTAAGTTGTGGCTTCTTTTTGCTCCCCAGGGCGAGAGCCATGCTTGGAGGAGAATGAGAGATCTTATGAGGAAGACACGGTTGACAAACCAGAACAAGCTGGGGCTGTCCTCTGCCGCTCTGAAGAGGTCCTGCCCTCAGTTGTATAGGTGAGACAATGCTGCAGAAGATTTTCATTTAGTGTTGGGAGGAGGTGGTAGATTTACCTCTGGTTGTTGGTTCCTGGAGAAGACCAGTCCTTTCTTTATTTCCATTGTATATGCTGGTCCTGGCTAGCAGTAGCATTTGCTCCCTTAGTGTCCAGATGCTCTGGGATCCAAACTGGATGTTACCTGTGTGAGAATAATGGAAACATTAGGGTCCCTAAAATAAGGCTCTTCTCCCCAGCAGGGTAAGGAGATGATGAAAACTAGCCAGAGCCATTCTATAGCCCAATTATTTGTCTTTCTGCTCCCTCCTAAGCATTGCAGAAAGGATTAATGCTCTGCTTTGTCCACTTTTCCACCTTATATCCATGGGGACAGTAACCCATATTGTACCTGATGTGTGTTAGGATGGGATAGTCAGGATTAGCAGGATGGGTTTTTTCACGGGGAGAAGAGATGAAGTTTGCTGAATGTGTGCTCATGGGTGGGACCTGTTTGCTGTAGATGAATATTTGGGTCCAACATGAGGTCTTAATTCTGTGAAGTGATCCATGCTGCTCCCTTGGGCAAATTTGTCTGCCAGGCTKGTTATAGCTTGGCCTCTGAGCTAAACCGTGTTGTGCACATCTATCCGACAGTGCTGTCAGTTACCCCTTGCACAGATCTCCCTTTGCGCTTGCCAAGTCCTCCCAGCTAGTCTGGTGAATTTGGAGTGTTTGTGTATATAATCAGGTAACAGGAAGAGCCTGGATATCTTAGTCACCAAAGCAGGAGCATTACATGGAGCTGTGCACCTCCCTGTATGTTTTTTCAGCTGAGGTCTCAGTAACCTTGAGCGGAACAGCTCAAATGTGCTTAAGCCCTCCTCYGGTTTTAGAGGGGGTGATGGTGGGGAAACAAGAGTTGTTTAACGACTCAGGAATGTCCTATTGTTCCCCTTAAGAAAGCCTGTACCTGCCTTACAAAATGCATAAGGGAATTGGGAATCTTGTAATTACATCTGGAAAAAAAAACCCTCTGTAATACATGGAGTGGTTTTTCCAGCTGGGAAAAGCTTGGTTGAGGCCCAAGCATACATAACAGGAGAACTTCCTCCTATTGTTTGGGAAACTGAAAGAAACACAAAGCAGAGAGAGATCAAACAGTTCCATCTAAAATAGATGGTGAAACAGCTGGGGRAAAATACAAACTCTGTGAACCTTCCCTCTAAACCTGAATAGGACCAGGACTTYTATCTGGGTTTCAGAAAATTCTGTCTCTGCAACCTCCTGCTTTCCCTGTCTCTGCAGCACAGAGGACAGCACCAACACTCCCTGCATGAGAACTGAAGACTAAGTYCTCAGCTGTCTAAATTTATGTATTTCCAATGAAGGGGGTAGCCCAATAGTTCCTAGCAGAAATTCTAGGTCCCTAGAAGTTAGTTTCCTAGGATGGATAATTATTGCTGTCATGGAAATGCCATACAATRAGATGACAAATGGACAATTTTTTACCTGGCTGTAATCAGGCATCTTCAGAGCTCTTGTACACTGATTTTTGCAGCCTGTTTTCTGTAGCTGATGAATGGCCTTTTCTTTTACCAACTTTCTTCTCCCATAGATCTACATAAAACTCTTGCCTGTAGTCATGCTCCTCATCTCCCTCCATTTCCTTTTTTCCTGCATTCTAACTCTTATTCCCCAGTCCTATCTGTGTTTGATTTTGCTCTTTTCATGCCAAACCCAGCAATTGCAGTGTAYCAACTGTTTTCACTGGTGCCTGGAAAAGTTGGGTACCTTGTTCATATGGCAGTTTGGATATGAAGTTATCCTCAGGCTCCTATGAAGTAAAAAGTTAGGTTTAGTGGATCAGACCAGCAAATGCTGCTGGACAGAAAGACAGACCCTTTCTGCAGCAGTACCAGAATGGTAAAGCAATAAAGTCTTGCTCATCTGCAGCTCTTAGCAAAGCAAACCTTGAAGCCCTGATACTCTCAGCATTTAAAGCCACTGTCTTTGTTATAATTTATGAAACATATTTGTCCTGGCTGCTGGTCCTGTTTGTACATGCAGACATAYGGAGCTGGCTGGCCTTTGCTTACCCAAGCTTCCTTGAGCTCCAGGTCTTGCACTGGAACAGGCTGGAGCCTGGTGCCCTGTATTAACATACAGCTCTGAAGGAAGCAGAGATTTGTTGCTTTTGACACCCAGTCCCACTTGAGTCATTTGGGCAATTAGAGAAAGTCTCTTTGTTTTTGTTTTTGTAACTAGGTCAAAGCAAATCCCCTTTCATGCTCCCACTCTGTATATGATGAATGATCCGCTCCAGGGTGGTTGTTTTGTTTCTTTTTTCTGTCTCTTTTTCTTTTTTTTTTTTTCTTAACATCCACGAAAGAGTTCTCATAGCAGAGAGAACTTGGTTTTTCTAGCGGGAGAGAAGGGAGGCCTGCCAAAGTAAACATACTGGCACAAGACTCAGTGGTTTGCTATACATTGTTCTAAGCAGGCTCAGGTTTTCATTTAATTTTCTTTTTCTTCCTGCTAATACATTTGCTCCTGCAAAGCAACATCTATTTTGTGCAAAGGACCAGAACAGACTGATGACTGATTTCATTATGGTGTTACAAACTTAAGCAGCACATGGTCCTCTACTATCCAGGGCAGGATCTAGTGTAGGAAACTTTGGGCAATCCCCTCCTAACATTCCTRCACAGATACACCCACCTGGGTATCTGTGGGGGCTGTAGCTTCAATGCAGAAGCACAGGTATGAGCTAACCTCAAATACAGTATTTTTCAAGGTAAAGATAATAGATTCAGTTTGAAGCTACCAAAAACTTGCTGCTGTATGACACCTACTTTGTGGTCAGGGTGAGGTAAAGCTAGGAAGGACAGTGCAGTTCTAAGATTAAAAAACTCCATCCATRTTGTATAGTAAAGGTTGAAAAGGGCCCAAGAACCTCAGACTCAGGTCTGAATGGTTCTTTTCACATGGAAAATTAATACTAAGGTATTCTCTWCCCTGTGCTCAGGGTTGAGAAACAGCCAAAGAATAAAAGAACATCAACGCAGAAATTCAGCAATTCCATTGTAAAATAACTAAGAGCAGAACAAAGCATAAAAATGCTTTAGAAAAAAATACATTTAGAAAAAAACAAAAAAACAGTAGTTCACAAAATAAGGAGTCTGCACTACATCAGTCAGGACTTTGAGCTGAAAATTTTCCAAATCAAAGATTTGAAGCAAATAATTATTAGCTATTTCTTTTCTGTAAAGAACTTCCAAATACTGCTTTTAAAAAACAAAACAAAACAACCAAAACTACAGCTTTTCATTCTTAAACAGAAGCTATTTTAAAAAAGAATTTAGAAAATGTTCTAAAAGGTTTGACTCTTATAAGCCCTGGAGGCCTGGGCTAAGTAATTTCAACAAACAGGATGTAGTATACTCATTTCTATCATATGTAATAAATAACAAACAAAAAATTAACCTGGAGACAGTCCACAGCAGTGTTGCTCTTCAAAACACTTAATTTCCCGCTTACTGCTTTAGGGCAGTTTTAACTTCTAAATTTTAACTTCCMTGTGATATTCAGCCATGAGTCTATTCCCCAGCTTCCAGCTAGGCAGAAAATACTGGTTGCTGTGATCAAAATTAYGTTTGTATCCATCCATTACAATGTACCTTCCTGCCAATTGCTGCATCTTGCGGCTCTTTTTGGATGCTGCCACAAATATTTGGACRGCATCTGTTAACGGAATTTCAGATTGGAGAGGGGGAAGCTGCTTTGGGTATAGCTTGGATACATGTGCACAGCATATTAATGTTAAAAACACAGCCATGCATTCTGACCACTGCCAACTTCAATTGTATTTTTCCATTTGTTAAGGCCAGATATTATGTCTTCAGAGCTGAGAAAAACTGAGAGGAACTCCATGATTGTTCTGGGACAAAATGCAAAGAATGAAAACTTATGGCCTTTCTGATAACCTGAGTSAAACAGAGCAAGGTAAAGTAAGTAAAGCAGCATATGTTATTTTCTGGGTTGGGTTGGGGTTTTTCACTGCTTTTCAGCACAAAAATGAGGCAGTCCTGTTTCTTCCTCCTGACACACTCCAGCATGCAAAAMCAGCAACAGGTCCAATTTTTGAAGTTTGAATTATATGGATTTATGCTTCTGAGGACTGACACATATATCTTCATTTTAATAGTCCCCAGCTTTTGGTTTGTTGTTTTTAATTTTAATGACAACTGTAGTCATACAGACTACATCATGAAGCCTTTTTACAAAAAAAAAAAAAAAAAAAAAAATAATAATAAAAAAAAAAAAAAAAGGCAATAAATTCATTTATCTGCAGTCATTCAAAAGACTTCCAAATAACAAGCCAACCAGATATTTTGGGAAAGAAACAATCCATCCATAATAAAGACTAAAACAAAAACAGCCTCATCCTCTACCTTCCCAACTCAGCCTACAGGGTAAATGCAGAGAAACTCTCTCTGATCTCACACTGACTGCATGTTTTTGTTTCAGAAAGTGATGGTGAGAAKATCAAAGGACACAAAATGAAGAATCCCGAGTTACTCTGTGCAATCTACAACCTACAATTGTCAACAGAGCAACTCCGAGTTGAGCGTTGGAAGGGAAAGAGGGAAGGGGGATGTTGAAAAGAGTCTATGGGCAGACACATGCTCAGCTAAGTATAGCTTTGCTCCTGAGCCTGAAGTGTACTTCAAAAAGTCAAGCTGCAAGTAAAAAATTCTGTTAGCATCTTGGCAACACAATCAACAGAAACTTGTAAGATTTGGAAATTCTTCCTCCACTATGGGCGAGGAATGGAATTACCTGAAACACTGAAGCTTTTAAACTATCATTACTTTCTGGGGACCTTCTCCTGCTGAAATAAACATTAGCTTAATGGGACAAAGCATATGGGAATGCCAGAGACTCCTTGCCCAGGGCAGAGGTGGCTGTTGAAAGGACAGCATCCTCCCTCTAGAGAACCTGAGTTGCAGTCTCTGTCTCCAGCAGAGCTCCTCCCTTCAGAGCTGCCTATGGCCAGCTGTGCCATTTCACTGGAATCCAAGAGGAGAACAAAGTATTAAAGCTAAGGTCATTCCTGAATCCATCACTAGCTTCCCATTTTGGAGGGCCTGCTCCTTCTGCAGAGGCCCCTGGACTCCGGTGCTACCCTGCACTGAAGTTGGCATTGTACACACTGATTGTAGAGGCCAGAGCCAGCAGCACTGCAGGAATCAGCCTTTCAAGAGACTGGAGGGCACATCCAGGGCACCCTCTGCCCCATGGAGCAACCCACCTCTAGTGTAATTTTTTTTTTTTTTTTTTTTTTTTTAGCGGGAACAGGACATCAGACTTGAATTTCTGCTTTTAAGATACATTTAAGTGCTCTGTCTGTGCAGGTGGAGGCCTGAGGCTGTAGCGGGGGCAGTCATGCTGCCATATGGCTCTGCCTGTGCTCTTTCTAATGGGAAAAGGTGAGAAGGAGAGCAAGGCTGAAAGGCAAAGTAATTCAAATRCTTCCTTTATAAACTGGTGCTCTTTTGGGATACATTAACAACTGTATAACGCTATGACTGTACTTGGTGGCTGCATCCACTGATTCCAGACTCAAGGAACATGCAGTGCGTTCTTCTGAAGGTCCCATGGTTTCAGAGGTCTCTGCATGCTAGCTCTTATTGGTACTAGCAACTAATAATTAATACATGTGGAGTAAAGATTTAAGCAAACTAACATTGCCTCTTGATAAAGGATTATTCTAACCCATACATTGCAATATAATTACAAGTCAAGCAATTACTGTTTAAAAATCTCTCCCCAACCTAAACTTGCCTGAGAACCAAGATTTGAGAAGCTGGCAGGAATTATGAACTTCAGCAGACTTAGTCTTTCAGTAACAGATGCTTCTCCCTTGTTCCTCCACATCAGCTGAAGTCCTCCAAACCAGAGCAGGATATTTCTGGGATTCAGAGCAGCTCAGCCATGCCATTCCAGGGCCACTGTAGTTTGTAGTGAGGAGTGAAAGCAGTAGCCCAGGCCTGGTTCTCCACGTACTCAGAAGAGTTACCATTGTTGTTACTTAGCATCTCTAAAAAAACCCCGCAAACAAATATAATGACCAAATCCCACAACGCAAACCCAAATCCCCATTAAAAAGAAAAAAAGGGTGCGCTGACTCAAACTTAGCACCCTAAAGCACATGCTATGTTTAATGCTTAAGTTGTAGTTACAGCTGCAGAGCTTGGTTATTCACTGTATATCTTGCTAGCTTCATCCAAAGCTAGAAGGATTTATATTGATTATTCTGTGAATAGTCTGTATATCTCCATAAATACAGGGGACAAAAATCCTGCATTAACTTACATCCTCCATTATCCCTCCAGGTTTTTTACAGAGACTGTACAGAATGTGAATCAGTGCAAACTGAATTTAAAGTGTTTTAAGACATAGCATCATGAACTGGTATTCTCTATAACCACCTCTATTCATTTCATAAGGATGTTGGGTGTTTYGCATTTGRTTTTTTTTGGTTTGTTTTTTTTTTAACTAAGATAATCTAGCACTCTTTTTTATTATAGCATTGTATTAAATATATTCCTGTATTTTCAGAAATAAATGTATTTATAATGTGTAACATACTGTATAGTTCTCCACTTCAGGATCCATTGTAATACAAGCCTAAGAAATTTAATAAAAACATCATTATTATGGTAATTGTTTTCAGGTATTTTATTACTGAACACCTGGCTTGTAGTCTAGCAGCTGCCACACCTTTACGGTGTTAGCTGAGCATAGCTAGTCAAGAAAGGAATTGCTACCTCCCAGCTTTTAAAGAACTTCTTTCGCTTTGGCAAACAAGCAAGTTTGCATATCAGGAGCCATGAGAGCCCCAGTGGCATTGGAGAACAGGCTGTGAACACAGGGCCAACGCACCAGAGGAGGAAACYGCAACRTTGCCTTTCACCCTGTGCCAGTGCTTCACAAGAACAACTCAGCCCACTGCTGCTCATGCCCTTCCCACCTTCTGAGGAMCAAGGTGCAAGCCTGAAAYACAGRAGAMTCCCTARAGGGGACARGAGAATTATTTCTTCACCCAYCCMCCTCCACTTAGCAYTRCATGTGCCCTACACTAAGCATCATACCAGCSTCCYAYACSCAGCTCAGCACCAAAAGGGACCRTCCCTGTAGGGGAATCTCCACCATTCYCAAAGGCTACACCCCCAGAGCTCCCTGCCTCTTTGRGATGGTTCAGTAACCCGACAGGGGCAGCAGRGACTTGASTCTCACAGCCCCTTCAGCATCCACACAGGCATCTAAGCTCTCTAAGCAAATATTTCCACCTCCCTTACTGCAGCACAGGAAGGCTCCAGTAGCAGGAAGGAGGYTTTYARGTCTTGGCTTACACAAACACAGTTAAAACCAGTGCCAGAGCACCCTGCCTAGTGCACTGAAAAGGTGTGGTTTCTATTACTCTGYTCATTACCCCRTTAATTAACATCACAGATAGCTGCTAAACACTTGTCATGGGGCTCCTTATGAGTTTACACTCTGCCTTCCCAGACGAAGCTCCACCTGTACCAAGGTCATGTAGTTGCCAGAGGCACTCCCCAAAGAAGGAGGCTGTTTGACCTATTTTCAAATGATGTTTTTTCCAGCCTGTGATCTCCTTCACCCTCCCACCACACAACATGGAACAGCCTTTTCTTCTGGTTAGATTTTGAAAGCATGAAAGAATGAAATCACTGATTATCTTGACAGTAGCAGGCAAAAGCAGTTCTGCTAGAAAAATAAAAATATCGTTCCTGAAGNTGTGTAGTAAACAAAGCTGTGCAACACAGCTGCTTAGTACAAACTCTGGCCTACTCAGAAACACCCTGACATTTGTTCTAATTGCTGCTTTCACTTTCAGGAAAACGAATGTGCCCTGGAGAGGGCCTGGCACGAATGGAGATATTTTTAATCATAACCACCATCTTGCAGAACTTTACCTTGAAGTCTGTTGTCAACCCCCAGGAGCTCAAAATAACCCCAGCACTTAGTGGGACAAGCAATGTGCCTGCTTTTTACCAGCTCTGTGCTGTTCCCCGCTGAAAAGCACAGAACCACTCTCCACAGTGTCCTGAGCCTGGCTATTCCTTTATGTCTCCTTTACTAAAATCAGGAGCATTGGCCCACCTTTCCCAGGCCATCAGGAAGGCAGTCCAAACACAGGAACAAAGGGGAGACCTCTGAAGCCTCCCAGAGCTCTACACAGTGCAGGAGCACCAGCGTGATGCTGCAGCCCCTTGCACTGCTGCTCTGCCACAGGATCATTGAGTGCAGTGGCTGCATAAACAGTTGGTTTTCTCCCCAACACAGCTCCCGTGGTGGCTCCCACAGCAATTGTCCCACCAAGACACTGCTTGGCAGATGGACAGTGCTGCATCCGTGTACATTCATGATCCAATAAATAAAAATCTATTTATGAAGATTTGAGCTGTTACTTAATTTGAGTTGGGGCAGTGCCCACATTTGCTGCTGCACTGCAGAATAGGTTTGCAGAGTCTGTGTCCAGCATCCTGTGGGAAGGGCTGTCCCTCTGGGGTAAGGATCCTGGCTTTGTCATGCCTTGTGCTCAGTGCTGCTGCCTGCAAGCAGCTCCAGAGCAGTCACAGCCCAGCACAAGYTGGGAAGGCTCACGGTGCCTGAGGGGAAGGGGGTCCTGCAGCCTGGGGGCTTTCAGCCAAATAAAAGAATGCATTCATGCTTTTTAAAGGCTGTTGCAAGGAGATCAGTTACCTGAGCATTGGAGACTGCAACCAACTCTCTGGCTGCTATTTTCTTTAAGATACAGCAACATGAACTGGTCTTCTCCACAACCACCACTATTCATTTTATAAAGTTCTTGGTTGTTGAGTTTTTTTTAAAGACTACAGTAAACTGGCACTGTTTCTTTATTATAGCATTATATTAAATATATTCCTGTATTTTAAGAAATAAATGTATTTATAATGTGTAACATAGTGTATAGTTTTCCACTCTAGGATCCATTGTAATACAAGCTTAAGAAAACTAATAAATGCATCACTATTATGGTAATTGCTTTCAGATATTTTATTACTAAGCACCTGGCTTGTGGGTGTCAGCTGAGCATAGCTAGTCAAGAAAGGAATTGCTACCTCCCAGCTTTTAAAGAACTTCTTTYGCTTTGGCAAACAAGCAAGTTTGCTTTTTGGAAGCAGGTGCTGCTTTGTAAGATCTGGAAGTTGAGGAGAGCCTTTGGAATTTCAGATATGACAAAACATATGTTTAATTTTGAGCAGCCCTGTATTAGATGCTGCGGCAGGGCTTTGCTTCCACAGACAGGCAGGATTTCCAAGAAGGAACAGTGAAGGCACTGGGGACAAAGTGTGCTGATGCTCAGCACAGGGGGTTCTTGCTGGAAATCTGCATTCAGTGGCAGCAGTACACAAGACTCAAATGACACATCTTGGCGTGCCTCAGGGCTGCTTTTCCTCAGCTCCTTCATTCCCAGCCAGCAGCACCCTCCCAGACAGAGCAGCTTCCCTTCACCTGCAGGTGTCCAAGCCACTGTAAACTGAACTGTTTAACCAGGTGATAACAGAATGAAGCTAAAGAGAGTGCTGACACAAGAAGTCACACACAGGTATTCAACAGAAAGTAATGGTAAAAAATCAATGAGATCTAACTAATAAAAGTGTGTGGAGGCCTAGAAAAAAATTCAGCCAGCAGTGCACCTGTGAAGGTAGAAGGAAAAAAATACAGATTTTGCAGAAGCAAATAGTGCATATCAGGAGCCATGAGAGCCACTTATACCCCAGTGGCATTGGAGAATA